GTAGCTGGGATTACAGGTGCATACCACCACACCTGGCTAATTTTTTTTGTATTTTTGTTAGAGCCGGGGTTTCACCATGTTGATCAGGTTGATCTCGATCTCCTGACCTTGTGGTCCACCCACTTGTGCCTCCTAAAGTGCTGGGATTACAGGTGTGAGCCACCGCACCTGGCCGCCATAGATTATTATTCATAAAAATGGAGGCTGGGCACCATGGCTCATGCCTGTAATCCCAGCACTTTGGGAGGCCGAGGCGGGTGGATCATGGGGTCAGGAGTTTGAGACCAGCCTGGCCAACATAGTGAAACCCTGTCTCTATCAAAAATACAAAAATTAGCTGGGTGTGGTGGCACACGCCTGTAGTCCCAGCTACTTAGGAGGCTAAGGCGGGAGAATCACTTGAACCCTGGGAGGCGGAGGTTGCAGTGAGCTGAGATCTGCCATTGCACTCCAACCTGGACAACAGAGCAATACTCTGTCTCAAAAAAAAAAAAAAAAAAAGGAGATGTGGGGTACTTTAGGAGGGAAGGTACCTGAGTATTCAGTGAAGTTAGTGTTCTTTACCTAAAGCTCCATACAAAACTTAAATTGATGTTATATCAAGCTGACAAGTGTTCATGCTATTAATTATAGGACTTGGGTTTTGAAGTGATCAGTTTTAGCCCTCCACTTAAAGATAAGTAAGCCATTATTGTCCCTATTTTTTCAGATGAGAGGCTTGGGTCCTAAGGATTTGGCTAGTATTTCAGATGTAAGAGAGGGAGAGGGACTCAGACTCACATTTTGGAAGTGCAGTACATTTCCTTCCTTCTTTTCCTTCGTTTTCCTTCGTCTTTCTTTCTTTCGTGGACTCTCGCTCTGTCGCCAAGGCTGGAGTGCAGTGGTGCAACCTTGGCTCACTGCAGCCGCCTCCTCTTGGGTTCAAGCAATTCTCCTGCCTCAGCCTCCTGAGTAGCTGGGATTATAGGCACCCACCACCACGTCCAGCTAATTTTTGTACTTTTGGTAGAGGTAGGGTTTCACCATGTTGGCCAGGCTGGTCTCAAACTCCTGACCTTAGGTGATCTGCCTGCCTTGGCCTCCCAAAGTGCTGGGATTACAGGCGTGAACTACCATACCCAGTCCGGTACCTTTTCATGTATGTGAGAGAACTAGGTATAAATATCAAGAGATGAAACTGGTTTTCTGTAGTAAAGTACATTTCTATGCTTTAGTGAAAGATAATATATTATTAAAGGGAAATATTGTAGGATATTCTTGATATATATATTTGGAAGAGTAGCTGAGAAGATACTTAAAAGATTAATTGTGGCTGTGTGCAGTGGCTCATGCCTGTAAACCCAGGACTTTGAAAGGCTGAGTCAGGAAGATTGAGGCCTGGAGTTTGAGATTAGCCTGGACAATGTATGAGACCTTGTCTCTAATAAAAATTTAAAAAATAACTTGGTGTAATGGTGGGTGCCTGGAGTCCCAGGTACTCTGAAGGCTGAGGTGAGAGGATCGCTTGAGTCTGGGAAGTTGAGGTTGCAGTGAGCGGTGATCATGCCACTGCACTCTAGCTTAGGCCACAGAGTAAGATCCTGTTAAGAAACAAAAACTGGTCGGGCGCGGTGGCTCACGCCTGTAATCCCAGCATTTTGGAAGGCCGAGGCGGGCGGATCATGAGGTCAGGAGATCGAGACCATCCTGGCTAACATGGTGAAACCCCGTCTCTACTAAAAATGCAAAAAAGTAGCCGGATGTAGCGGTGGGCGCCTGTAGTCCCAGCTACTTGGGAGGCTGAGGCAGGAGAATGACGTGAACCCAGGAGGAGGCGGAGCTTGCAGTGAGCTGAGGTCACGCCACTGCACTCCAGCCTGGGCGACTGAACGAGACTCCGTCTCAAACAAACAAAACAAAACAAAACAAAAACCAGCCATGAAGGGCTTTTTATGCCATCTTAAGGGTATATATATAATTTTTGGAGACAAGATTTTGCTTTGTCTCTTGGCTGTAGTGCAGTGGTGTGATCATAACTCACTGCAGCATTGACCTTCCGGGCTCAAGTGATCCTCTCACCTCAGCCTTCCGCCTAGCTGGGACTACAGGCGTGTGCCACCATACCCGGCTAACTTTATAACAATGTTCTGTGAAGATGGAGTCTCACTATGTTGCCCAGGCTGATCTCAAACTCCTAGGCCTCCCAAGGTGCTAGGATTACAGCAGTGGTTCCTACCACTCCAGCCCTGTGTCCTTTTAAATACTTTCCATTATTATTATTATTATTATTATTTTTTGAGACAGAGTCTTGCTGTGTTGCCCAGGCTGGAGTGCAGTAGTGTGGTCTTGGCTCACTGCAGCCTCTGCCTCCCAGGTTCAAATGATTCTCTTGCCTCAGCCTCCCCAGTAGCTGGGATTACAGACGCCCACCGCGACTCCTGGCTAACCTTTGTATTTTTAGTAGAGACAAGGTTTCACCACATTGACCAGGCTGGTCTTGAACTCCTGATCTCAGGTGATCCACCCACCTCGGCCTCCCAAAATGCTGGGATTATGGGCGTAAGCCACCGCGCCCGGCCTAAGAATACTTTATTTTTTTTAGAGCAGTGTTAAGTTCACAACAAAATTGAGCAGAAAGTACAGAGAGTTCTCATATACCTGCTGCCCCCATGTTTTCCCCACTGTCTACATCATTCCCCAGGGTGGTATATTTGTTAACAATTAATGAACCAGCATTGACACATAATCACCCAAAGTACGTAATTTACATTAGGATTCACTCTGTTTGTAGATTCTATGGGCTTTGACAAATTTATAATGAAAAGTATCTTTCATAATAGCACACAGTGATTTCACTGCTCTAAAACTCCTCTGTGCTCTTCTATTCATCCTTTCCCTCTAACTCTTGCAATCCACCTGATCTTTTTACTGTCTTCATGTTTTGCCTTTTCTAGAATGTTGTATAGTTGCAATCATTCATTATGTAACTGTTTCAGGTTGTCTTTCACTTAGTAATATGCATTTAAGGTTCGTTCATGTCTTTTTGTGGATTTATAGCCCATTTGTTTTTAGAGCTGTATAATATTCCATTGTCTGAATGTACCACAGTTTATCCATTCACCTACTGAAGGACATCTTGGTTCTTTCCAACTTTTTACAATTAGAAAAAATTTCCCACACTATATGGGTGTAAAGGTTTTTTTTTTTTTTTGAGATGGAGTCTCGCTCTGTTGTCCAGGCTGGAGTGCAGTGGTACAGTCTTGGCTCACTGCAGCCTCCGCCTCCTGGGTTCAAGTGATTCTTGTACTTCAGCCTCCCAAGTAGCTGGGTCTATGGGTACCTGCCACCGCACCTGGCTAATTTTTTGTAATTTTAGTAGAGATGGGGTTTTACCATGTTGGCCAGGCTGGTCTTGAACTCCTGACCTCGAGAATCCACCCACTTCGGCCTCCCAGAGTGCTGGGATTACAGGTATGAGCCACTGTGCCTGGCCAAGATTTTGCAGTTATAAATGAATCTGCTGTGAAATCCATGTGTAGATTTCTGTGTGAACATAAGTTTTCAACTCATTTGGGTAATTAGCAAGGAGTGAGATTGCTGTATCACATGACCAAAGTACATTTTTGTGAGAAACTGCCAAATTGTCTTCCAAAGTGACTGTACCATTTTGAATTCCCACCAACAGTGAATGAGTGTTCCTGTTGCTCCACATTCTTGACGGCATTTGGTAGTGTCAGTGTTTTGGATTTTAGCCATTCTAATAAGTATGTGGTGGTATCTCATTGTTTTAATTTGTAATTACCTAATGATGTATGGTGTATTTTTGTATTTTTGGTAGAGACAGGGTTTCACCATGTTGGCCAGGCTGGTCTTGAACTCCTGACCTCAGGTGATCAGCCCACCTTGGCTTCCCAAAGTGCTGGGATTATAGGCGCGAGCCACCTCCCCCGCCCCCGCGTTTGAAAAGATGTTCAACATCTTTTCATATGCTTATTTACCACCTATATATATTCTTTGGTGAAGTGTCTGTTCAGATCTTTTGCACATTTTTCAGTTGAGTGGTTTTCTTATTGTTGAGTTTTAAGAGTTCGTTGTATATTTTAGATAATAGTCATTTATCTTTTGCAAATTTTTTTTCTGATTTTTGGTATTCTCATTGCCTTGACAGTGTCTTTCACAGAGCAGAAGTTTTAAGTATCAGTGAAGTCCAACTTAATCAGTTTTCCTTCTTTTTTTTTTTTTTTTGAGATGGAATTTTACTCTTGTTGCCCAGGCTGGAGAGCAATGGTGCAATCCCGGCTCATGCAACCTCCGCCTCCCAGGTTCAAGCGATTCTCCTGCCTCAGCCTCCTGAGTAGCTGGAATTACAGGTGCGCGCCACCACACCTGGCTAATTTTTTTGTATTTTTAGTAGAGACAAGGTTTCACCTTGTCAGTCAGGCTGGTCTCAAACTCTTGACCTCGTGATCGCCTGCCTCGGCCTCCCAGAGTGCTGAGATTACAGGTGTGAGCCACCGTACCTGGCCGACAGAAATTAAATTCTGAATGAAGTAGCATGTTCGTAGTTCTTGCAAACGTTGTTTTATTGTTGTTTAAATGCTGGATTGACGTGTATTTTTGGAGTTAATTGTTCCATTTCCATACATGTTTAAGAAAACTGGTCTTTCATCCAATTAGATTGCAGGTTCTCTGATCACAGGGACAGTGTTTTGTCTAGTTATATCTTTCCATATTTCTGAGCGCATGGTAAATCTTTGGTAAATGTTGCTCTAGGTTGTTACATTAGTTTTGTTTGGGATTGTGATTTAAGGTACCTGATTGACCTAGGATGTCTCAAACTGTGTAAAGGAGCTATGCTCTAAGATAGGTTCTAGTGAAGCTCAAGACATATCTGTATTACTCCTCCTCACTTTCTTGTTATGATTGAGGAGCTGCAGATAGAGTAAGTATGTAAAGAGCTAGAGCTCCTCCTGAGATGATAAGATGAACAGAAAGAGCATTAATATTGTTTCATGCTAGATTTGACACAATATAAGTTAACTTTTTTCTTCTAGATCTTCTTTCCTTCTAGTCAGTGGATTGCTAATTGTCTAGTGGTTTAAAAGGAAACAGAATATTAGAGTTGTAACTTTTATTACAGTTTTTTCTAATGTAGCCTTGACAGATTAAAATGTAACATTTAAATTTGTTATATTTTGAAGACTTAGGTTTGGTTGGAATGAAGTTAGTTGTAGCTGTAGAGGGTTGTCGCCTCAGTTAATTAAGGCATAGTGCTGATAAGGCCAGGGTCACCCTGGCAGGTGTTATTTAATTTTACTTTGTCCAGCTTATCCACAAATTCCTGGGAAGTGTACAGTATGTTTAGTTCAAATCTACTCATCTGATACAGATGCTATAGATAATAGTGACCTCTTTTTATAGGAATGCCAGCTCATTTTTGATATCTAATTATTGATTATTTACATACAATTTCACACTAATTTAGGACTTTTAGAAGATAATGATTGCAAAAGATTTGTACTTGTGTTATTGTCATAGCTAGATTTGAATAGTTAACCAGTGTATGGGTTGCCACAGTGCCAGGTTTGTTGTAGGATGGTAGACTTTCAGAGCAGTGACGAAAGGAACAAACTTTTATTGAACAGTTTTGTGGCTCTTAGTAGTCTAATCCCTTCAATTTGTAGATGGGAAAACTGAGGCTCAGAAATACGAAATTTTGATTAGGAATTCAGTTTTGGACATGTTAACTGTGAGATACTTGTTAAACATTCAGATTGAGATGTCAGGTGGGCAGCTGGTTTTACAAATCTTGAGTTAGGGGAGAGATCCAACTTGGAGATGCAAAATTTTAAATTATCACCAAATAGCTGATATTTAAAGCCCAGGGATTGACTAAGGTCCCCAGAGTAGTTAGAGGTTAGAGAGAAGAGGACCAAAGCTTGGGGCACTTGGCTTTTTAATTCAGAAACATAAGGAAGCCAACAAAGAAGTTTGAGGAAGAAAAGCTACTGAGATTGGAGGAAAACCAGGAGAATGTCTTGGAAACCATGTTAGAACAGTATGTTTAATTGTGGATTATAGAACCAGAGAGCTTCAGACTAAGTCATTTAACAAATAATTTAGTGATTGTTGTGTTTTGCCTAAGAGTTCTTTTTATTTCAAATGCTGAACTTGTAGAGGCAAAAGTGTTTAATAATCTTGGGGATTCAATTACAAGTTACGTATTTTTTAATGGGGCTAGAATGTGAAGGTGCTGAAGTCACTGCTTGCTGTGTAATATTCTAGATATTTGTTGATGTAGTTCTATACTTAAGTATAGACCTAACTGGTGTGTTACAAAATGAGGGAAAAACAAATGTAATAGGTTTTGCTCAGTTTATAATCTGGTCAAGGATATAGGAAGACATAATAAGTGTATCAAACATGAATCTTAGTCCGAAAACTCAGATGGAAAGAAGGTACCACATTTGCTTTCTTTAAATTAACTTGATTTGAATACTACTTCTTCGGCAAGAAATTCAACCTCAGTCATCCTTAGGGCTCCCTCTGCTCATGTTCTTGGAAGGCCTGGTGTCATATGGTTCAGATTTTGCCTGCATTGGTTATAGTATTGTCTTCCATTGTCCTCCACAAGGTTCCATCAGGTTCTGTGGCTCTGCCACCAACTGTGGGCCCTAGTGCCTGTGACTTGACACCTAGTTTATATCTAGCAGACACTTTTTACTGAGGTCTTGCTGCCATGGAGTTGATTCCATCCTCTCTAGAATTTCTTCTGAGATTGCTCACAAGGTCTACTCCTTTCTTTCATCAAGTCATCAACATGGTCTCTTCTTCGGTTTTACTAAACACAAGGTGCTGCTCTACCTTCTGTGCCACTGGAATCTCTGAACAAAGGGTTTTGAAAGCCTGGCTGTTTGACTGGAAATCGAAGGGAGGGATGGAAATAGAAGGGTGTGAGTGACATAGGAAAAACATGAATTAGTGTTCCAAAAACTAGCCCCAAGAGGAAATATAAAGTGCCAAATGTCAATAAGTATGGTTGCTTGGAGTGTGCTTGGAGTGATTTGAAAACTTCATGAAGATGAGACTTGAACTGAGCCTTAAAGAATGGATAGAATTCATTATAAATGATGGTGTCTGTTGTGCTTCTGTATCTAAGGCAGTACCTTCATGTGTATATTGTTGGGTGGTGGTGACACATGCATGAGTCAGGGGCGTGTGTGGCATGTTTGGGAGTGAGTGTGTGGTGTGTGTGTTTGTTACAGGAAGGAGATGAGAGTTTCTACTGTTGCAGAAGAGCCTCAGAAAGAGAATTGTGGAACAATCAGCTGGATGGAGTTAGAAAGGGAAGATGCTTACAAGGCTTTGATAGTAGTTCTGACCTGAACTGGAAAAGGATTGATGGCAGTGGGAATGAGAAGACAGTAATTGGGTAGAAACCGCTAGAAAGAATCTGTGGGGAGAAGGCAGAATTTAAGGTGATTCTGAGTTCTCTGCTGGGTGCAGAGGTATTAATAGTGTCATTAATGGAAACTGGAAAAGTCAAGATAGAAGTTTGTTGTGAGAAGAAGATAAGGAGTTAAATAGATGATTTGATAACCTGTTGGAGCTCTGAAATGAGGTTAGATTTGTAGATAAAGGGTTTACCATATCATTGATCTTCACGATCCTGCTCTAGACTGGTGGTTTTTCCTGTTGACTATTGTGAAGAAGACAGTGATGAAAGAATAACTGATGAGAAAAGAAGAGATGAGTATGTGCGATATTTTGGCTTAAGTATTTAAAACTTTTTTATTTACAGAAATTTTATAATTCAAAATTACTTTGTAACATTTTAAAAGCCTGAAAATTTAGCATGCTTGGAAAATCCTTTTTAGTTTTAGCTTTCGTCTTTATATCCCTAAGACGTTCTCTGAGCATTTGTAAATCTCCACAGGTTTATATTAATAATCTCCACAGGTTTATATTAATAAGCTAATATTTATATTAATAAGTATAAATTTGTATTAATAAAGCTAATAAAAATCTTTAAGGCTGCTTTTTGTTGTTGTTTGAGACGGAGTCTCGCTTTGCCGCCCAGGCTGGAGTGCAGTGGTGCAATCTCTGCTCACTACAACCTACGTAGACCTCCCAGATTCAAGCAATTTTCCTGCCTCAGCCTCCTGAGTAGCTGAGTAGTATAACTTCTCATCATTTGAAACTACTGGCAGTTGAGCTTATCTGAGTTTGTTTCTTGAGTTTGCACTTGAAGGGAATTCTTTCTTTCTTTCTTTTTTTTTTTGAGATGGAGTTTCGCTCTTGTTGCCCAGGCTGGAGTGCCGTGCCACAATCTCGGCTCACTGCAACCTCCGCCTCCTGGGTTCAAGCGATTCTCTTGCCTCAGCCTCCCGAGTAACTGGGATTATAGGCACCCACCACCATGCCCAGCAATTTTTGTGTTTTTGGTAAGATGAGGTTTCACCATGTTGGCCAGGCTGGTCTTGAACTCCTGACCTCAAGTGATCCACCCACCTGAGCCTCCCAAAGTGCTGGGATTACAGGCGTGAGCCATTGCGCCCAGCCGAGAATTATTTCACTTCTTCAGTTCTTCATATTGTTTAGTAGATGGTTGGGGAAATTTGTAGTGTAGCTACAATTTTGAGGAATTGACTTCAGTATAAATATAATTCTTATACAGTGTTTAGTATTGTTTCACAAATATTAAACATGACAGTATAAAAAATGTTCAATTACGTAAGTCCCTTTCCACCGCCTGCTATTAGTACATACACCATAATACTTGTGCACTCTTATTATTATCTGAATTGGAAAGTATATAATTAAAAATAGTTACGAATTTAGTACTTGTAAATTTAGCACTAGTAAATGGTTGATATATTTAAGAGACATTATTCATTCTACAGGCAGAGCTTGATGCACAAATGGATTCCTGGTCTCCTTGGTCCACAGGATGGAAACTGTTGGTATTGCATTTGAACCAAGGAATATTTGTCTTAAGAGTAGCAGTTTTGTCTAGTTCTCCTTAATGAAGGCCCAGATTATGTAGATTTTATTGTGGTTTTATTTTACCAATTAATTGAAATTTGAGTCCTTGGATAGAATTTGCAAATCTGCTTTGCATGCAGAATTAAACTTGTAAACTAAATTTACTTGGGTGTATGAATGTATTTAATACTTAAAGTGATATTTAGTAAGTTTTATTTCAAGGTAGAGTATTAATTTTAGAGCTGGCTACTTTGGAAATAATTTTATGTACTTTTTGGAATGTTTTGACATCTGGAAAAAGTATCCTCTGTTAATTTCTTCATAGTACTGCAAAACACACACACTCTCTCACACACACACACACACACACACACACACACACACATACAGTTCAGTTGATGTTATCCTTACTCTTTAGTTCTGTTTACTAATTGCCACAGGTAGAAATAGCTGTCTCAGATAATCTTCAGTGAATTTTTTTTCTTTTTCTTTTGTGTTTTTGTTTTTTTGAGACAAGGTCTCACTCTGAGTACAATGGTATGATCATGGCTCACTGCAGCCTTAACCGCCCTGGGCTGAAGCGATCCTCCTGCTTCAGCTTCCTGAGTAGCTGGGACTACAGGCATGTGCCACCACCCTTGGCTAATTTTTGTATTTTTTTGAAGAGATGGGGTTTTGCCATGTTGCCCAGGCTGGTGTCAAACTCTTGGATTCAAGCAATCCAGCTACCTAGGCCTCCTGTGCTGGGATTATAGGTGTGAGTGCCCAGCCACTCTTCAATGAATTTTACCTTGCAGTTGCTAAACAACATTCCTGCAATGTTTCAAGTTCCCTTAGAGTGAAGACTATACATCATTACATTTTTTTTCTTTGTTTTTCCTTGAGACAGTCTTGCTCTGTCATGGCAGGCTGAAGCACAGTAGCACAATCATAATTCACTGTGGTCTTGAACTCCTATGCTCAAATGAGCCTCCTTGGCCTCCTGAGTAGCCAGGACTATAGGCACAGGCCACTGCACCTGGCTGATTAAACAAGAATGTTTTTTGTTTGGACGGGCGTAGTGGCTCACGCCTGTAATCCCAGCTCTTTGGGACGCTGAGGCAGGTGGATCACTTGAGGCCAGGAGTTTGAGACCAGCCTGGCCAACAAGGTGAAACTCCATCTCTACTGAAAATTAAAAAATTGGCTGGGCATGGTGGGATGCTCCTGTAGTCCCAGCTACTCAGGAGGCTGAGGCAGGAGATTCACTTGAACCCGGGAGGCGGAGGCTGCAGTGAGCCAAGATTGTGCCACTGCACTCCAGGTTGGGTGACAGAGCGAGACTGTCTCAACATCAACAAAAATTGTGTGTGTGTGGTTTTATTTTTCCTTTTTTATAGTGATGGAGTCTTGCTATGTTGCCCAGGTTGGTCTTGAATCCTGGGCTCAAGTGATCCTCCCACCTCATTCTCCCAAAGTGCTGGGATTATAGACTTGAGCCACTGTGCTTATTATCTAATATAAGGCACATCTCTTAAAACTTTTGAGCTTGGTTTTGATATTGCTCAGTTACCTGGATTTTCAGAGGTTGGTGGGCTAATTAGGCAGCTATCTGTCCATTATTTTACCAGGTATTTATGACAGTGATTATTTTTTATGGCAATTTTTTGTTTGTTTTTTAAATCAGCCTAGACATTTAAATATATTATGCCAGTATATTAGTTACATGAAGATTAGCTAAGATAACGTAAGGTTACGGGCTGTTTAGTTGGGCCTACAAACATAGTAAGACTTATCAAAACAAGTATGGATTTTGAATGTGAATATTTTAAAAGATATATTGAAATTACTTAGAGTAGCCCTGGATATATGTTCATTATGGATGGCGTTTATCTTGTTAATAAGTTTCTACATGCTCATTTTACTTTTCGGTAGCATGAGCAAGTAACTTATATTTCGTTCCTGAGAAACTAAAAGAATCTGCCTAAGGAGTATGAAAATTGCCATTAAATCTGTATTGTCTACTTTCTGGATGCTTATATGATTATAGTTCTCTGCTCTTCCACACATTTTTGGGCTGCTATCAGGTTGTAAGTAATCATTATACAAACTAAATTTAAAAATTTAAGCAAGATAATTTTATATTCCTTGGATCAGGGAAAAAAATGCAGTTGCTGAAGGTGGGTTCATAGCTAAATATAAGCAATTATTTTGCTTTTTCTACTTTTTTGGATTTTATCATCTTTTCCCTTTTAGTAATAGAAGTAATACAGGTAGGAATTAACTTAGCACTGCCAAATTAATGGTAATATTAGACCTTTGTACACAGCACAGGATTAAGGTTATATAGAAAAATGTCTCATCCGTGTTTAATTTGGCTGACCAGCTCAGTTGATTAGCCAGTTTTATTGTTCTGTTAAATTAAAATTCTAAATATAGTTGTCCATTGTTCAAATAAATGAGTAGGGTTAAAATAGAGAATTGATAAAAATAAAGCCTTAAAAAACCTTTTAGCTAAAGTAGCAGGCTTCAAGTGAAATTCAGTTTTGGTCTCCTTTACAGGAATAGCTATTCACAGTCAGACAGAACCACTTATCACGTTTTGCAGTATCTCCTGAGGAAGTCAGAATCTGAGCCAGCATGAAGACGGAATCTTGTCTTCGATCTGATTTGCAAACTGTACTTTTATTCTAATCATGTGCAAGGTGGAGGTTATAGCGTGGGAACTAAAATCTTAGTAAGTGTGGTTTTTATTTTAGCTATTAAATAGTGTATATTCTTATAGTGATTTTTTTTTTCTTCTTAGCAGAGTTCACACTATAAATGGTGTATGGACTTGGCAGGCAGGAACATAATACAGTATACTTCAAAAGTGAAAGATTTAGGCCAGGCGCGGTGGTTCATGCCTGTAATCCTAGCACTTTGGGAGGTCGAGGTGGGTGGATCATGAGGTCAGGAGTTGAAGAGAAACCTGGCCAAGATGCTGAAACACCATCTCTACTAAAAATATAAAAATTAGCCGGGCATGGTGGCATGCGCCTGTACTCCCAGCTACTTGGGAGGCTGAGGCAGGAGAATCGCTTGAACCTGGGAGGTGGAGGTTGCAGTGAGCTTAGATTGCACCACTCCACTGCATTCCAGCCTGGGCAAAACATAGCAAGACTCCATCTCAAAAAAACAACAACAAAAAAGGAAAGATTTAACCCTCTAGGTTCAGGAAAAATCCCTGAGAAAGAGCAAAGCTTCTGTGCTCTGCCTAGGATTTCTTTCTCTTTCCTGCTGAAAAATAGGTGTTGGGATGATACCGAGTTAATAAAAGTATTTAAGAAAAGTGGCCAGTATCTAAATTTAAGCCATTAAAAAAAAATCATTAAATTTGTTATATAAGTTGCCTCATTTATGAATTAGTTGCCATTAAATTATGAAGTCTTTCTTCATTATAGTGTATTGTTAGCCCATTGTTGAATCCTAGGACTCTTTTAAGTAGTGTGAATATATTTTAAATATGAATTGAATTTTTTTTTTTGTGGGGGGATGGAGCCTTGCTCTGTTGCCCAGACTAGAGTGCAGTGGTGCGATCTTGGCTCACTGCAGCCTCTGCCTCCCGGGTTCAAGCAGTTCTCTGTCTCAGCCTCCCAAGTAGCTGGGATTACGGGCGCCCGCCACCATGCATGGCTAATTTTTGTATTTTTATAGAGACGGAGTTTCACTATCTTGGCTGGGCTCGTCTTGAACTGCTGACCTCATGATCTACCCACTGAGCCTCCCAAAATGCTGGGATTACGGGCGTGAGCTGCGATCCCTGGCCATGAATTAGATTTTGAGTATATTTTAAATATTCAAAATTTAAAATATTTTAATTATTAACATTCACAATTACATTGGAATGATTATGCTACTAGTTATTTCAGTGACCTTCCACAGATTTAATTTTCCCCAGTACAGTCATCTTCTTTTTGCTCCAAATAGAACTGGATTTTGAGGCTACAGAGTATCAAGGAACTACCTATTTCATAATGTTACTTTGTTAATTGTAGCCATTACTTCTTAACATGTTTCTTTACTACCTGTGCTAATTAAGAACAGTGGATAATTAGCATTTTAAGCTGCTTTTCTCCCTTAGTGAGAATGATAAAATAGACGTTATTTGATCTTCTGAATTCATGAATCATAATCTGTGTTCATAATTTGAGAATGGTTATGTGTTTAAGCTATTATTTAGTTTGTGTTGTTTCCTCTACCTTTGTCTCTTTAAACTATTGGTTACTTTTCTAAATTGATGTGATGGCCTCCCTGAAATTAAACATTTCTATTAGTGGCTTCCCTTTAATCTCATCCTTCTTAGATCAAATCTCCTTATATTTCCTGCCTATCTCTTTTTGCATTCCAAAGTTCAATTTTATTAAATCCCAAGGTCCAAGATTTTTTCTTTTGAGAATTTATCTCCAGTGTTTCTATGGAAATCAAAAAAGAAAATTAGGATAATTCAATGTCAAAATGTTACATGCATCTTTTGAGAAATTTATATTTTGTAGGTTGAAGGGCATGCTTTTTGGGGAGCATATTTTTGGAGGTGGAATGTAGTTATTTTAATAACCATGTCCTATATTATTTATAGCTTCCTGCCTGACACAGCTCACTTCAAGAAGTGCACAATGTCAGAACGTGGAATTAAATGGGCTTGTGAATATTGTACGTATGAAAACTGGCCATCTGCAATCAAGTGTACTATGTGTCGTGCCCAAAGACCTAGTGGAACAATTATTACAGAAGATCCATTTAAAAGTGGTTCAAGTGATGTTGGTAGAGATTGGGATCCTTCCAGCACCGAAGGAGGAAGTAGTCCTTTGATATGTCCAGACTCTAGTGCAAGACCAAGGGTTAAATCTTCGTATAGCATGGAAAATGCAAATAAGTGGTCATGCCACATGTGTACATATTTGAACTGGCCAAGAGCAATCAGATGTACCCAGTGCTTATCCCAACGTAGGACCAGGAGTCCTACAGAATCTCCTCAGTCCTCAGGATCCGGCTCAAGACCAGTTGCTTTTTCTGTTGATCCTTGTGAGGAATACAATGATAGAAATAAATTGAACACTAGGACACAGCACTGGACTTGCTCTGTTTGCACATACGAAAACTGGGCCAAGGCTAAAAGATGTGTTGTTTGTGATCACCCCAGACCTAATAACATTGAAGCAATAGAATTGGCAGAGACTGAAGAGGCTTCTTCAATAATAAATGAGCAAGACAGAGCTCGATGGAGGGGAAGTTGCAGTAGTGGTAATAGCCAGAGGAGATCACCTCCTGCTACGAAGCGAGACTCTGAAGTGAAAATGGATTTTCAGAGGATTGAATTGGCTGGTGCTGTGGGCAGCAAGGAGGAACTTGAAGTAGACTTTAAAAAACTAAAGCAAATTAAAAACAGGATGAAAAAGACTGATTGGCTCTTCCTCAATGCTTGTGTGGGTAAGTTTCTGTATTCTGCATTTTTTGAATGGGATGGGAAAAGGTAGTAAAAATGATACGAAAACAGCTGGGTGTGCTGACACATGCTTGTATTTGTAGTCTTAGCCACTTGCTTGAGACCATGAGTTTGAGGCTGTAGTATGCCATGATCGGTCTGTGAATAGTACCTGCACTCTAGCTTGGGCAACATAGTGAGACTGTCTCCATGCCCACAAAAAATATGTGTGTGTGTGTGTGTGTATGTATGTATGTGTGTGTATATATATATGTATGTGTGCACAAAGTCACCAACATTTAATTCATTCAGCATGATAGCTGTACTTTCAAGTATACATACATAAAAATTTGTATCTGTGATCTTGTCATAACTTTGTACTAAATTGCCCACAATTAATTGTGTTCATGTCTCTCCATTACTGGAGGCAGGGGAAACTTTTAAGTTAATGCAAAGGTTTTACACATCAATGGTAAAATATATACCTGGACTTTAAAACTGCTACTCTGTTTATTGTAACAAGATGTAACTGAGGAACACCAGCTGCTGTTTCCAAGTATTTGTAAACAGTGTGAGCATCTTGTGATGATAGAAGCTTTAGTCAGATGTTAAAAATACCACAAAAATGTGTGACTCCAAGGAGTTGAACAAACATATTGACCTTGAAAATACTGGTGTTAATTTAACATGAATGTCATGTAGTAAATATTTGCAAACTTTATGGAACTGATTACATGTAGCCAGCTGATTCCATACTTCAAGTTATGGTTCGTATGTAATACTGTTAAAGGACAGAGACATAGGAGAGCAGAGTTTTTTTTTCAGTTCTTGACCTTGTGAGTTAAGTGTGATGTAATTCACAAAGGCAGTGACTTGAGTCTTCAGTATTTTTTTGAGTAGATTAGATGTTTGATTTTATTAAATTATTTGGATGGGCTGCTTACTTTGACGTTCAGTCTGATTACTAAGTTTAAACTTTGTGTGGAACAATAGCTAAGCCTTAACTATACCTTAGCTGTATGTTTTCCCTCAGTGCCAATTTCTTTTTTTTAATCCCTCTGGGTCCAGCCCAAGAATATGGAAGTTTTAGGTGTATGAACCTGTGAGTCCTAAGAATTGATATCCAAGAAATTGTGAGTTTTAAAATTAATTTTTATGTATGTTATATATGTCATTCCCCACCCCCCCAAAGATGGGATCTCAGTCTGTCACCCAGGCTAGAGGGCAGTGATGCAGTCATGGCTCACTGCAACCTCAACCTCCTGGGTTCGAGTGATCTGCCACCTCAGCCTCCCCAGTAGCTGGGACTCCCTATTAGCATGTACCACTATGCCCTGCTATTGTTTTTAATTATTATTTGTAAAGATGGCGGTCTCCCTATGTTGCCCAGGCTGGTCTTGAACTCTTGGGCTCAAGCGATCCTCCCACCTCAGTCTCCTAAAGTGTTGGGATTATAGGCATAATTTGCTGTGCCCAGCTGAAATCCTGAGTTTTCAATTTTAGCTTTGTTCTGGCAAAAAAGAATATTCCAGCAGATGAATCCTTCTGACCTCCAGATGTAGTAGGCACTTAGCAGCTCTTAGTTCTAGTTTCCTCCCATCCTGAGGATGAGGGATGAAAACACACCGAGCCATCTTCTGTCTGTGTTGTTCCATTTTATTCCACTAATTTTTCTGCTCCAAATTGAGGGCAACATATAGTATGATTGTCAGTTAAAAAAATTTAAATAGGAGATACAAAAGGGTTTTATTATTAGTTTCCTTACTGAGATCAAACTGATTTAACATAAAAATTCACCGTTTTGCAAGTGAACAACTCATTTGGCATTTAATGCATTCACATTGTGTAACCACTACCTCTGTGTTGTTCCAAAACATATTCATCATCCCAAAAGGTAACTGTATGCCCATTAAGCAGTTGCTGGTCCCTACCCCTACCCGTTAACCCTTGATAACTGCCAGTCTGCTTTTGGTGTCTGTGGATTTACCTATTCTGGATATTCGTATAAATGGAATCTTTACATATCTATGAGCTTTTGTGTTGGGTGTGATTGTCTTTTAATTGCTTGTATGCCTTTGGAACACTCTTAAAATCTTTTTTTTTTTTTTGCAGGGAGTAGTGTACTATGAATACTTGGACTACAAGATAGTGTTATAGTACATGTAGGTTTATAGATGAAAATGAACTAGACTTCATTGTGACGGTTTTTAACCTCACAGTGAAGGTCAATAAACCGCACTAAAGGTCATAGAATCCTTTAGGGATCAGGGCTTCACTTCAACCCCAGGTTGCTTCAAGTCAGTGGATCTCAGAATAAGAACACCTGATTTGAAATACTTTCTCTCCTTGAAACATACAAGTTAGATGAATCAACATGTTTGTCTTTATGACATTATTTCTTCTTGATCCTGCCTTTTTCTACATATTCTTACTTCTTTAGATGACTAGCCATCCTTGTACCTCTTTGCATTTTATTTTTTTGTGTCAGGGTTGCAAGGCTGGAGTGCAGTGGCACAGTCATGGCTCACTGCAGCCTTGACTTCCTAAGCTCAAATCATCCTCCCACCTCAGCCTCCTGAGTAGCTGGGACTATAGGCACATACCACCACGCCTGGCTAAGTTTTGTGTTTTTTTTGTAGAGATAGGGTTTTACCTTGTTACCCAGGCTGATACCTTACTCCTGGGCTCAAGCGATCCACCCACCTCAGCCTCCCAGAGTGCCAGGATTACTGGGGTGAGCCACTGGGTCCCGCCCATCTCTTTGCATTTTAATCACTGACTTCAATTTAAAAGTGGAACAAGGCCAGGCACAGTGGCTCATTTCTGTTAATCCCAGCACTTTGGGAGATCGAGGCAGGTGGATCACCTGAGGTCGGGAGTTCGAGACCAGCTTGACCCAACATTAAGAAACCCGTCTCTACTGAAAATACAAAATAGCTGGGCGTGGTAGCGCATGCCTGTAGTTCCAGCTAGCTGGGAGGCTGAGGCACAAGAATCTCTTGAACCTGGGAGGTGGAGGTTGCAGTGAGCCAAGATCGCACCATTGCACTCCAGCCTGGGCGACAAGAGTGAAACTCCGTCTAAAAAAAAAAAAAAAAAGTGGAACAAAAACTTCTACCAATAGGACCAGTATTGGATTTGACCTTGTTTTATTTACAAAACGATTTGTCATTAAGTTGCTGTTTCTACCTGCAAAGTTTCTAGATTCTCAGGGCCAAGGGTTGATTGTATTTGGTTCTTGGTAATGTGGACCGTGTCTTTCCTATCAGCAGATTTTTTTTACTGTTAACTGTACGATGTCATTCTGAACTGTTATACATAAGGTTATAATTATAGGCCTGCTTCTATGGGATAGCTATATTCTGATGTGTAAACATAACTGAAATATGTTAAATACTTTTTAAAAACTTGTTTACATTATGTTGGGTTAATTAAAAAAAAGGCTTGAGCAGTAAGACTAACAGAAGTTCATATGTACTCAAAATTAATCTTTACTTCCCTTTTCTGCCTGCCTTATGTTCCCCAGATTTCGTTAGATACAGTGTATTTTGGGTTGTTGATGTTAAGTGTTTTTTTAAAAATCCGTCTCTACACTGTATACACTGAGTATAAAATATGAGACTTTTCCATTTAAAGTTGGAAAAAAATGTCAACCTCAGGTCAGCTTTATAGCTGATAAACTAGGAATGAGGAAGATCCAGTTGTTGAGAGGGCAGATGTCAATTAAGGCATCAACAGTATTGAGCAAACATATTGACATAGCCATTGGGTGTAAGTTTCACATAAGTCAAATTATCTTATGGTGAGAGGATGTTGGGGACAGCTGTGCCAAAACCCGACATCTGTAGTGGAACCTGAGGTTGAGAATCAGGGTGGTAAAGGTAGAGGTGTGAATGTAAATGTACAGTTGCCTCTGGAATGTCTGCAGTTGGTGCTAGATGTTTTTAGGGACATCAAGTTTTTAGGGCAGTCATGTCAGCACTCACCATAGACTGCTTTTCTCACTGGGTAGACAACAATGTATCTAGAGAATAGAGCAACACTACCTAATGCCCTGCTTTTATTCTGCTATTGTATTGAATCAGTTGCCTTATGAAATTGTACTTCAATTTGTGTACATAGCTATGTCCTTTTTTTTTTTTTTTTTTTTTTTTTGAGACAGAGTCTTGCTCTGTCACCCAGGCTGGAGTGCAGTGGCCGGATCTCAGCTCCCTGCAAGCTCCGCCTGCCGGGTTCACGCCATTCTCCTGCCTCAGCCTCCCGAGTAGCTGGGACTACAGGCGCCCGCCACAGCGCCCGGCTAGTTTGTTGTATTTTTTTAGTAGAGACGGGGTTTCACCGTGTTAGCCAGGATGGTCTCGATCTCCTGACCTCGTGATCCGCCCGTCTCAGCCTCCCAAAGTGCTGGGATTACAGGCTTGAGCCACTGCGCCCGGCCCCAGCTATGTCCTTAAAAAGACACAGGGTTAGATAAGAATACCGTATTAAATCTGTGCTATAACTTGTATTCCTGAACCCTAGACTCATATATCCAGCTGCCTCTTCAGCATCTTTCCTGGAGTGTTTAATAACTCAAGCTCATTTCAAGCTCAGTGATGCTAAAACAGAACTGGTCTGTCTTTCAAATCTATTTTTTCCCAGGCTCTCATCATGGTTGATGGCAAATTTCTCATTCCATTGCTTGTGCCAAAAGCCTTGGCCCTCCTTGATTCTTCTTTCTCTTATGCCCCACTCCTATTTCTCAGAAGATCCATTGGCTCTACCTTCAAAATATATCTGGACTCTGACCACTTCTCACTATTCTTGTCCAAACCATGATCCCCCCATCCCCCCTTGCCTTTGCCCTCCTTACAGTCTGCTGTCGTCAAAGGAGCTAACTCTGCTCAGAACTCTCTAGTGATCACCTGTTTTACTTGGATTAAATAATAGCCAGAGTCCCTCAGAAAACTCTACAAGGCCATCTACATGCTCTGTATTGCACACTTCAGCTTCCTTCCATATACTT